GGTCTCCTGCTCATCTGCCAAGTTTGGCGTAGAAAGAGTCAATACTTTTTAAGTAATGCGAAATAATGTGATATACCCAAGAACGGACGAAACATTTGGGGGGGGTGGTTTGGCCCCTACGTTTATCTGTGACAGTTCTGAGGTGAGGGCTATTACGCTGTACATGTACACGTAAATGGATGATTTTTCACTTGTTATGATTTAGCAGCTAATATGTTCTGTAAATTTATTTTAATAGTCATCTGTTGGTGTGCAACGATCTACACCAATATTTAACCAAATAATGTATAGTGTATATTAATTGACCAAATTACGCTGTTTTCAGTTGACCAACGCTACTACATGTACATTGTAATGTGATGTTGAAATGCACAAGTTTACAAACATGCCCGGTGTCAACTTGTCAAATGTATGAGCTGGCCAGACAGTGTAGATTACAAAACGTTCTGAAAGCTGGCATTGTCAGTTAAGATATTTCTTACAGCATATTTTGTAATTAATGATTTCTCAGACATTGTTTTCTTCAAGAAAAGATTCATACCCCCCGTAGAGGTTTTTTTTTTCTTTAATAACTCGCTCCTTCTGTTACTTTGGAATTTCTAATGACGGGCCATTAATGGATGTTGGGTGTGAATATCTTCTGGAACTGCACATTCACATTTAGTCAGCAAGAACATTAGTATTTATCCTAACAAAGTCTGATTTTCAGTTATATGCACAACCAAACAGCCTGGATGGCCCTTTGATTGGGACTGCGTATTGTTGTACTGCAATGTTCAAGTTTCTTGTTTAAAGCAAATCGCATTTGCTCTCGAAAGCAAGTCGCCATGTTCATAACAGTTACATATGTTTGCTTTGCATCTCAGAGCAGAGCCTGCCACTGTGAAAGTTTGGGTACCATACCCCTAGCATTTGATTCACTACAGTAGACACTCAGTAAATGGAGTACACTGTATATCAATGAAAGGAATGTCACCTGTTGGCTATAAATTATAATTGATATGTCTTTGCATGTGCAGTGGTGCTCAAGTAGCAGCTATGTACAGTATGATTACATCCTTGTTCCTGTCAGCCAATATATAAACAGTGTACAAATGGGCAGCCTGGATTAAAACATCGAAGATTTTCAAAGCAACCATGGCCAGGTGAGATATTTCTAAAGAAATATAAATTCAAGGTCCTTATGATTGCTTATAGGGATTGATTTTTATTGTAAACAATATCTTACTGAGCGTATTTTCCTTGTGTACTACTTGTTGTAGAACAGAGAGACCACGGTTATGACAGAGATATTAATGTGTGAAAAGTTCCACAAAAAATGCACTGGGAACAAATTAAATCATCATAGATGCAGCTTCTAAGAGGTCTCCAATATTAATGGCTCATACATTGTGCATACAATTAAATGAGTTCAATAAATTATCACTTAAGATTGTAATGCTTTGTTTAGTTTCTCCGTATTTACAGACAACTTGACGCCATAATAATTTCAGCACTAAGTTCATTGAACAAACTGACTTGGAAGTTGAGTTCTGCAACCCATCCTGTGTGTAGTAATATCATAGCTGCAACATTGTGACAGATACACTGTATTACATTATTAAGAAACACTTATGATACATGAATTAACTAATCTTTTAAAGTGTCTGTTAAATTAATCAGTTTTTCTTAGAGAAAATTTATTCATCATGTCATGGTTTATTTAAATAATTGCTTTTTTGGCTTAAAAAATGATAGTTATTGTGCTGGGTTTATGGTGCTCTTAAATCAATTTTGTGATAACCTGCATTGGGCATGGCATACATTAATATTTTGCCAACACGAAATGGAGAACTGCAGGATTAGTATTTTTGTGGAAAGAAAGAGTTGAGAAGTTTGTGACATTCTACCGAGAGCCTTGCCATTCGCAACGTCCAATAAGGTTAATTTGTTCCCTAGTGTCTTACAAATAGTGTTCTCTAATTTATAAATTATTTCAATCTGTTTTTTAAATGATTGCCTTATAACCCCATGTCCAGCTTTGGTGCATGTAGGATATTGATGTATTGTTTATCCATTTGTCTGTAAATTACCTTTAATTGATGTGTCAATCAAAACATATCTTGGATATGTTGGGTTTTTCTGACAAATGTACCTATGCCTCATAACCTTTGAGTGCATTTGGTTGTGTAATGCAGGCAAAATACATGTACATAATATAACTTACTCATAGCTTACTTACAATTCTTGGTATAATTTAATCATAGCAAAATTAATCAGTGAAGCCCAATAACAGCTCCTGTAACCCACAATCTCAGTTGAGAAAAAGAACAAATTACCTTGGAATTGAATAATAAAATTATTATCAGAAGCCTATGCAAGTATTCATGATCAGCAGCTAAACATCGTATTTATCGTTCATGCCAGAGTGATTTTTCTTGTACTTATACTTTGAAAGATGGTGCATACCCTTTCAGCAGGAGGAGACTCCATATGAAAATGAAGATGGCTAACTGTATCTTTGGGGATGAAGTTAGGAAACAAAACTTTTAAACTTTTCACATGTGTATACTATTTTGGTATTTTTGCGAGATTTCATTTGGTAGAGATTTGGGGACTGAGTATATTGTAACCACTACATGTCAATCATACCCACAACAAAAAAGTTTGTAAACTTCTTTGGGCGGGAGTCCCCATGTTAACTAAGAAAGAGTGTAATGATTAATAACAATGTCTTGTCTTTCTCAATAGGAAAGAACAGGAAATGCCACCAAAAAGCACAGAGGACAGTTCTTTTATGTGATCAACATTTTTGGTGGCTCCCCTGAAATCCTTGAAATCATGGCTCTATTTTCATCATTACATCATCTTACACCTCGATTTGCTGCTGTAATCCTAGTTGGGGCTGAAACTATAAAATCGTTCGCAATTTACCTCGCATACATGTACATGTTGGATTATTTTCATTAGTAACAACATTCCAAAAAATAACTAAGGAGCTCCGCCTTTAGGCTTGGCTAAATCTATATATTAAGGCAATAGGTAGGGTTGTTAGCAAAGTTGGGCTTGTGGTCCTTAAGGGTTGTGAAGGCTTCTCGTTTAGCGGTGGTGTTAACCCGGTCACCTAGATCAAGTTTCCTAGCAATTTCTTTGGCTTCAAGCTCGATAGAACTCGTGGTGCTCACAAGGATAGAACCGGTTCTGTAGGTTTAGGTGATTCTACGACCAATCTTTGGTTCTAACAAGCTTAAATTCGCGCCACCTACACCTGAACGCTAACCCGTATCCAGAGGGGGAGAGGACCTGCGCTGCCTTTAACACCGCTGTATCTTTTTTTCAATATTGAAGTGAATATTGGCAAACTATTTTTCGACATCATCTGACATTTATTCCGGAACCATGTTGTGTAACATCCGTTCATTATCGGAGCTTGATGTTTCCATTGCAAGTGTGTTTTAACTAATGTTTTTTTTAGTCTTGTCTCATACTAAGACAGTTTGTTTTGTTTGTGCTAAAAAGGAAATTTTTTATCCCAGAACTCTAGTTTTTTGTTTTAAGGTAAGTGTTAAAAACATTTTTCATGTAAGAGGCTCTCCTCGTGTGGCTTTCAGCAACATACAAATCCAAAGTTCCAAACCCAATTACTAGTAAAGTTGAGCAATTACCCGTTTGTCAATCATAACTATGACGACACCAGCGAAAGACAAATGAAATGGCTAAAGAGAGAAACTAATTTCAACCAAAGCACGATAGCATTTGAACGGGGAGTTACCCGTGAAGATACATGTAATTGACAACAGTAAAACTGAACTGTTAGTTATGATTTTTTTATCCTGCATGTTATACTCAAAGCGACCCATGAACCCTGCATTGGCCGAGGTCGGTTTGAAGAGATCGGAGAAGTCATTCATTTATTTTAATGCGTAAAATAAATCTCACTTTAATTTCAGACCTTACATGTTGACACCAAAGTAAATGTTGATTGAGTATTATTTAGTGTAGCAGAAAATCAAAATAGTTCAAAAACTGAGGAAACATACCGTCTTCGCAGCCGTTTTCATCTGATTCATCCGGGCATTCAGCTATCCCGTTACATCGGTGAATGTCCCGGATATACAATCCCCCACTTGCACACTCGGTCATGTTTCCGTTTTCGAAAAGTTCAAGGTAGACTGAAATAAGAAAAAAAAAGGCAAATTGACTCTCAAAGAATTGTAGACCTGAATTTTATAGCACGTTCGATTTGATATTTGAAAAAAAAAAATGCCTTAAAACTAGCTGAACTGGAAGAAAAAAATTCAATTACTTAATGTGCGAGATGATCGTATTATTTCTTAGTGTAGAATTTATGATGAATATATGTTTTTATGTTACATATACACCTAATTGAAGAAATGTTGTCAAGAAAAAAAAAGGTATGAACTTTAACGATACGACGCAGTGGTTTTGAGGGAAACTTGCGAGCTAATACCAACTTGCATTTTTACGGACCGCGGACAAGCATTAAAGCGGTTTACGAGATTGGCATGCATGCTTACATGGAAGGCGTATTCTGAAGACTTACGTTTACGTGCTGCCTGACTTTATTACTACCTTGGCTATGATATTGGGGAACCTGCAGGCTTGCTTAAAATGTCTGAGTAACTAGGAGAATAAATATTACGCACGGATGAAGTAAAGTAATAACTATTACATCCGGAGTTGCTTTTCACCGTAGATAAACAGTACAGTCAATCGCAGGCCAGATCTCTTCTTTATACTTGGAGCTCAGTAACTGTTACAAACTTGGGCATATCTCGAAGCTCTAAGCGTTCAAGCTTTTTTTGTTTTGTTTTGTTTTCTACCTTAGTTACCTCAAGGAAGGCATGATAGTTTCTATGTTTTTCTAAATCACCATTTCGGGCAGCTGAGCTGTGAGGTCACGAGAAAACAATATTGACAATTCATGATCATGGACACGCTTTTTCAGTCGTCCCATCATTCTGTAAAGTCGTATCGTTTACGGACAACGTTTTCTTCAGGCTTTCACAGCTGCTTAAGGTGGGTACATAACTGCGATGATCTTGCATGCCTTTAAGTCTTTCTCCGCAGGTCCAATAAATATTATTTCATATCTATACTTACATACCGTATGCAACCTTGTTACTTGAATTTTACAGTAATGCTATTTTCATTTCCTGCCTGTCTTTCCACGCCTCATGTGTGACAAAGTTCTCCGACTGACTCATGACCATGAGCCAGTGGAAAAATTGTCATAAATGTATGTTGTAGGTAATAGGACATTTTCGATATGTCACTATTTAACATGGCTCCGAGGCTTACAGTACAAATTTCGCTGTTTCAAGTTGTAGTTTTGTTTGCATCCAAATCTCTTTTGGGAGTAAAGAGGTCAAAGTATAATTAAAAGCAAAATTGCAATTATGTCCTGAAAGCATCGGAGCCATGTTAGAATGTTGATCTATAGAACTTGGCGTTTTTGAAACATGTGATCAGACTGAACCTTGACGACTCGACAGTGACCGAGAACAGGACATAACATAATGTATTTAGAGGGTCTACCCACCTTTGCAAGTACTGTAGGGCTCTTGTGTTCTCAATAGAACTGCACATTGTTCACAGGTGGGTAACAGCTCAACACTATACAATCCATGCGTGATGTTGACGTCATATCCAGTACAGTTTATAGTGCCGTTGACGCACTCACAAGCCACACAGGAACTGTTCATCCACGCCTCCCTATTCTTTCTCAAGTTTCCCCTGATGTCCATGCACACAGACTCATTTAGTTTCTGGCACAAGACTGAACTGTACTCAGTACAGATACAGTTAGTTGTAGGATCTTTGAACCACTTCTCACCTGGTTGTCTTTGGTTTAGCTGGTGATCAAAGCACGGCAGAGGAACGGCTGAAATGAGAAATTTTAAAATGCCAACATTCAATATTAGTATATCATCAGCAGAGGGTCTGGTTGGCAAGTATTATGAAATAATTAAATCATTTTTTTTTTCTTCTTTAAGTGGTTTGAAAATACATTGTATTGCAAATAAATAGGATTGGATGTGTGAAATCAACACACTGCCAGAGTACAGTTTTCTTAAGAATATAATCTGTGGAAGTGGTGTTCCGGGCACGAATATGCAGTATACGAGTGAGTATGCAGTACCGGAGTGAGCGTACTGCATAAAAAAAAAAACAAAAAAAAAACAAAAAAACAAAAAAAAAGACAAATAAAAACAAAAACAGAAAACAACAACAACAAAACAAAAAATAATAGATAAAAACTACCACAATGCAGGTAAATTCCATCTCGAGTCAACTTCTAGTTTTCTTTAGCTGTGTTTCAGGAAAATTTCCAAACTTTTAGCGTCTGAAATTTTTGACCAGAAGATTACTTTGGTTTTGGTTTAAAGAGAATCATTTGTAAACTGCGCGAAAAGAGAAGGAAAACTGACCATAGTAATAAATCGCAATCGATCCCCTCTGTTTCAATGTTCAAGGAAAAAAAAAACTTCTTTGTCCTTAAACAAACTCAGGTAGATTTTATTAACACAAGCACGAGCGTTTTGCGCACTACTATTTTTTCTTTAAACAGCTCTGTCGAGAAAAAATAGTTTTCCTTTGCAAAACAGCTCGGCATGAGATACATTTTCAGCATTGAAACGCATCCATTATGTAGCTGTTTGAAATAAATTACCTTTAGTTTGAACGAAAACGGCGATAGTGATGAGCCCGGACATAAAAATTGCCTGTTTAGCCATTACTTTCGCAGTGATGTATCTGAGGGCCTAAAAGAGAAAATACAACTCATTATAGTCTAGGGCAGAGTACTGTAGTAAAGTGTAGTGTAGTGAAATTATGTATGGTAAAGTACAGTGGCTAGTGCAGCGCAGTGCAGTGCAGTGCAGTGCAGTGCAGTGCAGTGCAGTGCAGTGCAGTGCAGTGCAGTGCAGTGTACTGCAGAGCAGTTCAGTCGATAAGGTTCTTCCCGGCAAGCGGTTTTTCCTTCTTTTGAGTTAACCTACCACTTTCGCCTCCTATATTTAATGAGGCATTTTTCGCCAAAAAACCAGAATGCGCTGAATAGTGATGTTTGCTGGATCATTGATGTCGCTTCAAAGAGCAGCAATGCACCTTTCCGGCATTTTGTATGAACTGCGAAAGTAAATTTACAGAAGTAATTAAAACAAGTGAGTTGGGTCAAGCTTGAGGTCACGTGTTCCTGAACCACGTCACAGCTTTATTCCAAACCGAGGGAAGACTGATGCCAATGGTGGACCAAAAATGGCGTCAAATTTGAACGTTTTCAAGACGTTATAAAAACAATTACGTTTTGTCCAAATCTTAAATTTTTTTCGCAGATTCATTTGATGATATATAGAATCAGATGAGAAAATAAAAAATTTTGACGCTATGGACACTTTAAGTTATGGCGTTTGTTTAGGTGGGTGTTTTGTGTTTACACATTTCGTGTGACCTTCCGCGGTCGCCATTTTTCTTTTACGATCATGAAAGGGACTGCTGTGGATAGTTAACAATTTTGCACATGCATTCCGCTTTTGCTATTGAGCATTTTTTCCGAATCAGTTTTTGAGATAATAGCTTTGTGGATAAGGAATTTTTCGCGCTTGTTCTACGCAAAAATTAAAGATAGCCCTTTGCGCATATGTGAAGGCGGTCCGCTGATCAGTAAAGCCCGCAATTCCACGCGAGCAGTGTTTTCTTTGACACTGTTACCTTTAGTAGCATAAGCGGTAGGGGAAGAGTACCATAAATACCCGAAGGTGAGACTGGCCAAGTAACAAGAGTGAAGAAAACCTGAAATGCAGTTTTTTTTCTTGCCGTTTCTTAGATTAATAGCTGGCGCGATCGATCGCAACATCCACATCACAATTTTCGTTTACGTTCCGCTACAGTGATTTAAAAGAATGTCATTAGAGCCTTGGCGTCTCTCGGAAATATTACTGATTTAAGCCACCTTAAACTTCTACAGAGTTCAGATGCCCCGTGTATCTGCGAATTTGCCTTTCGAGAATGGGACTGATAAGTTATCAACGAATTCATCAACTTAACAGTACCACAGTATACATCTTCCTCGATATCCAGGGATTTTTGAACAGCGGTAACGCGAGAAAGGATCAAGGAAAAAAAAAAAGAAAAAAAGCTGACCGTTAACTTTATTCTATTCCGAACGCACGGTTGAATAATATCAAAAGATGGCTAATAAATACTGATCCGCCATTGTGCTGAGAATAAAAGAATATCCGCAAATGTTGAGGCACCAATAAGTTGAGAATTTGAAAAAAGGTAGCCGTGGGTAATTGGGTAGAAGTTCAGCGAGAGATAAGTTTATCAAGGCATGATTACGTATGCTTACGTTATTAACCTAAGTGAATTAAAATACGAGACATAAATACTATACGCTTCGTTAGCAAACTACAGACCTTGACGCGGTAATCTTTTTTTTTTTCTTTTCTGTTTACAAAGGTGGATTTTAAAGCCATCAATATGCAAGTATTTCGTGAATATTTTGCAACGAAATTTTCCGACACAACGAGCACGAGGAAATGACGATTTTAACGACTCTGAGAACCTGACTTTCAGCTAAATGTTTGCTTACGAAAACAAAATAAGATAGAGAGCAACATTTACCGAATTACGTTAATCTTTCTCTAACCGTATAGCATGAAAAAACAACCAAAAAATTATTCATTACCATGAGTTAAATAATCCTCTTGGAACTGAACCTCCAATGTCGCGACAATTAGCTCAATCGCAAATTGTATACTAATATGAATCCATTCAATAAGTAATTTAAGTAAATCGAATTATTAAAGGAACGATAACGTACCACGTATCCCCAGTGAGGTACAATCAGATTTTAAGTCTAGATGAGAAGGAGTCAACAGAAAAGCGACATATCTGTTCACAAATTGTATACCAGTATAAATCCATTCAATGAGTAATTTAGGTAAATTGAATTATTAGAGGAACGATAACGTACCATGTATCCCCAGTGAGGTACAATCAGATTTAAAGTCTAGATGAGAAGGAGTCAACGGAAAAGCGACATATCTGTTCTTACCTTGGACTGCTGTTGTAAATTTTCTTACGTATATATACGTAAGCGTACTATAATTAGCGTTATAGTTTTCACAACAAAACACTACCAGCTCAAATGGAAGAAAGCTGATTATTCGCTCGGAACGAACCTTGATTGTTTTTAAGTCATTTTCCTGTATTATTAGTTAACGTTTTAGCCTGGGGGAGACTCACATGACGTCATGATTATAATATATACATTTTTTTTTTCAAACAATAATACCTCCATAATAGTCATCTATTGTTCAAAGTCAGTTAAGACTTAAATTTGTAGGACACAATCCTATGTAAACGGCGTTAAGGAATAATGTTTGGTATAGAATGTATATTGAGGGCAAGGCAGGATTACCTTTGATTATGATTTGCTGCCTTCTCCCGATTTATTGTGAGATTATGCTATATTATTGCATAATTGTGAGATTATGCAATATTATGACAGAATCTCATATAGTCACCGGTCGTTTCGAAGCTTTGAGGCTTTTGTGAAACCTGGGAATCTCTCCCCCGATGAGAGTTAGTTAATGAAGATAGTGAAAATTCGAGACAAAATTGGATTGTCGCATTTACAAAGCGGCAGACAAGATGATATTTGAAATGTAAAGCGCCTCTACTTCTAGTCAAAACGCTTCTTAATGGCTCGAAAAGACCAAGGACCCAGACCCTGGTTAATAACAGTGCATATATTTTGTAGATGATTATGTTATTGCGGATACAGTGTTCGAGTACACTGTGCTTTGGGCGGGCGAGAAGATTTTCATGAATGCAAATCGAATGAGAGTTTTAAAGCTGCCTGCTACAGGCCAAAATTTAAGCTCGTTATTTTGTTTTGTTTTTGTTTGTTTGTTTTTTTTAAGCGGTGATGCGTTGAATAAAATCCCAACTTGCGGTGTTGTGTTGATCTCAAACCCTTCGGTGTGCGGTGTTTACGTTTTTCACGCTAAGGTGTTCGGTGAAATAAAGTTATTTGCGGTGCTGTGGTTTCTTGTTTGACTTTTCTCAGACCTACATTTAGCAACCGTTCTTCATTAATCCATGCTAATTTATGACAAGCACGTACCATTTTTAACAAAGTACAGACCAACGTGGAAACCATGAGCGAGGACAGATCAAGGGTTGATCCGCACTGATGACAAAATCGTCCGTTATTTATCCGACTCGACAAAATTATTTATCCTGGTGCATCTGCACTGTTTTGATGCGTTGAATAAAATCCCAACTTGCGGTGTTGCAGCGTTGCGGTGATCTCATACTCTTCGATGTGCGATGTTTGTGTTTTGCACGTTACGGTGTTCGGTGAAAAAAAAATTCTTTGCAGTGCTGTGGTTTCTTTTTTGACCTTTCTCAGACCTAAATTTAGCATCCAAACCTCGTTAATCCGTGCTACTTTATGACAAGCACGTGCCATTGTTTTTAACAAAATACAGACTAATACAGTCTAGAACTCAGCCTTCGAGAGACACGTGGAAACCATTAGCAAGGACAGATCAAGAGTTAATCCGCACTGATGACAAAATCGTCCGTTATTTGTCTGACTCGACAAAAATTATTTGCCCTGGCGCCTCAACACTGTTTATTTACAGCATGTCCCGTTACTTATTCTCTGCTTTCAAACAACTCATAGTTTTCGACCCAGACCCTTTCGTTGGTCCATTTCTTGTAGGATTTCCCTTTCGCTTCCGCGGCCTGTGAACTGTTGCTGATGTCCTCCGTGTCCTTTTGGCTCTGATGACATCATCTCATTGATTGTTATTATCATTATCATCATCATTATCACCACCATCATCACCATCATCTTCATCTTCATCATCATCATCATTATCTTCATTGACATTCCCCAAAATTGATGACAGCAGAGATTTTGGCTTTTAACACCATCTTTTTCGTCGATAT